ATCTATCTATCTATCTATCTATCTATCTATCTATCTATCTATCTATCTATCATTAAGGCTAGAACACAGATTCCACAGCTAGCATCCATTGATTCTACATCCACTCATCACTTACTGGACAGAGACTCCCCCTCCGGACTCTTTTGGGCCGGGTCCGGTCCAGAGTTCGGTTCTGGCCGGTCCCCCTGATCCGGCCCGGTTCCGGCCGGGTTCTGGTTCTCATCCAGAGACCTCAGATCCACCTCGGGGTCGTAGTGACCCTCCTCGGCCACCATCTTGTCCACCCTCTCCATCAGGCGTCCCACCTGGGGGTCCTCGCCGAATACGGAGTTATTGATGACAAAGTACCTCCTCTTGCACTTCTCCAGGACCCACTTCAGGTCTTTGCCCTCCCTCCGTATGTACCTCTCGATGGAGATGGTCCTCAGCACCTCCGCCCAGGTGAACACCACCATGGTGTGCCTCCACACGGCCTCCCCGAACAGACTCACGTGCTCCTCGATGCGGGCGCGGTCCACCTCCGTGAACATGCCCACGGGGATGACCAGCAGGAAGGCGTGGGGCCCGGGCGGGCACAGGGAGGCCCCCCTGACCAGCTCCTTTTTATAGGAGGGGGGGGTGTCCTGGGCGGAGAACCACCCCGGGGTGTCCACCACCACCACCTGCCGGCCCTCCACCTCCGTCTCCCGCTTCACGCAGAACTCGGCCGCCCGCTCCAGGTGGAACTCCTCGCGGCCCATGATGGTGTTTCCCGTCAGGCTCTTCCCCGGCCACCTCCAGCCCAGGACCACCAGCCGGACCTCGGGCAGCCGGACGATCGCCGCGGCAACGGCGGCCTCCTCGGGTCCACACGCATCTCCGCCTACGTGTAGGGATGGGGATCGTTAATATTTATTGATATCGATACCTTTTATTGATACTCCTTATTGAGCCGAGTCTTTATCGATACCACTATCGATACTTTTCTGTTATGTGGTGGAAAGACGATGCGACAATATTTAGCAAATAAATAATTGTATTTTGAATTAGATGTAATTTTTGATAAATGTTGGCATCAGTAGTTTAATTATATATTCTAAAATAATTAGAGCAATATACAACTGTATTACTCATGTTTCTCGCAAAAAACTCAATTTCCCTTTTCTTTATGTTACACTTGAACGCATCATGATAACCTGAACACAGGTTTTTTATTATGTCTGTTTTTTTGCAGACAGAACAGCTGGTCGTATGGTCTTGTTGTCTTTCTTTCTTCTTCTTTTTTTATTTTTTTCTCTCCCCCCTCTCTCTCTTTCTAAAGGATCTCTCTCCTTTCCACTAGTCTTCCCTCCCCCCTGTCCCTCTGTCAGGTTCGGCATTATTGGACATATGGAAGTTTGGTAACAAAAATGAATAAATAAAGCAGTTTGGGGTAATAGAGGGGGGCTTCTCACTAACAAAGCCTCCCTTGGCAAAGCAATTTTGTTCAGTATAGCACGGTACTCAGATTTCAGTTCTGCAGCCATAATGCTGAACAGGACAAGGTAAAAAAATAAATAAATAAATAAAAAAAGAGTTTAACAGGCCCACTTTCATTCCGGAACAGTTTGAGCTACATTGTTTGACGTCTTCTGCTCCTATTTTCCAACAAAATCAGCCTTTTTTTCAATCAGGCTTCATTTTAAACTTGAACGAGAAAGAAAGGGTTTGAACTAATTGGACGTAAACTGGATAGCAAATAAGATATGAAGGTAAAAACTAATTAATGAATGTTTAATTACACACGATGATCCAAGTCCACTGACTCAAGGAGAAAGGAACAAGCAGATATTGGTGTCTGGATTAGTATACACAGATAAAATACAAATAAAAGAGAAACAATCCCCCTAAAGCACCCTTAATTTAAAAAAAAAATCTTTATGGCTATTAAAGATGGCACATCAAAGGGGAAAAAATCAATTTTTTCTGTGTTTGGGAGCAAGTTAGGATGTTTTCAGACGTGACTTATTTCTTCATTTTATCTCACTGGCTGAAGATTGTATGTGCAGGAACCATTTTACATTTGTATGTTTTAATAGTATGGTTAAAAATAGTCAGGTCCACAGAGTTAAAGTACTAAATGTGTAATTTTTTTATTTTAGATCTTATTTAAGATTGTATGGCAAACAGAACATAGACATTTCTAATGTCTATTTCTAATAATTTTTGGCTTCTTTAGTATGTCTATGTTCTCAGTAAGTGTGTAACTAGCAAAATATCTTAAAATCAGATAACCTCTTAGGCCTGTTTTTGCTGTCATGTCAAGGAAGTGGAGAAAATTTTCCATTTCTGATCCCTAGTTCAGGTCGCCTAACTTTTCCCTACACCGAGACACAACTTCGAAGTATTTTCCCTTATATGTGAATTAGAAAATGTCATCTTTATACGAATAAGCTATGAATATTCGAGAGAAATTTTAAATAAAACTGTGTGCGAAGTGTACTTTCAAAAAGGTCATGTCCCCAGAAATGAGGGGAATATTAGCCAACAACAAAAACAGAGAAAAACCAGAAAACCAGCTGTATATCTTTCTTTTTCTCGGCTAAACACGAAACGTCCTCAGATCCGGTTCAGATGTTTAAACCGAAACTTTGCTAATTGTAAGCTAGTTTTAACAACCAATGGAGCCATATATTGTTTCTAACAGCTAGCAAAGTAACCGTAAAGCAAATATCTCTCCTCACCTGTCGTCTGAAGAGGTTTATTCGCTTCCATACTCAGTTTTAGGACGATGTGGGCTCTTTTTGGGGTCGTAATTCGCTTTGGGCGGGTCGTTTTTCGAAGAACTTCCTTCTGATGACAAAAGTTACCAGATAACCGGAAGCTACGAACGCCATTTCTGGTCCGCGCCTTCAGAATAAGAGCACGGCAGAAAAACCGGAAGTGTTTCACAACTCGGACTTCAGATGAATCTAAAAACAGTTTGTTCCAGAAAAGACACTTACACCTTTAAAGCTCCCACCAGCAGCAACAACAAGCAGAAATTAAACCAGTAAATATGTGAGTGACCAGTTTAATGTTTGACCAAAAAAAAGAAAAATATTTACAGTATTCTGTGAAATCAGGGATTATTTACAACTTCATAACAATTAGTTATTTTCTATAAAGAAAAAAACATTGGTTTTATCCTTACTTGACTCCAGGTATATCTGTGCTTGATTAAGAATGATTATCATACAAACAAGAAAACAATAACTACATAGCGAGTTAAAATTAGATACACTTTTTGGCTCCTTCACTTTTTATTTCTTGATGAATATAAGCAATAAAGTAGCATTACAAAAGAAAAGATAGCTTAGCTGATAAAAATGACATAACTTCATCTTCCCCTAAAAACCTTCAACAACATAAAAAGTCAAACAGAGACATAAAGAGATCCTAATAAAGCCTCCAGTG